TCACCATCAGTCAAATGCAAAAAGCCGCACTGCTTGGATCTGCACACATATTACGAAAATACGTTACGACGTTCTAGGCCCGACTAGTAACCAATGCCAAATCCGGTGAAACAACTGGCCGCTGTGATACAATTGTATAATAATAATAATAATAACAACAACAATAATAATAATGGGCAGGGCTGCAGGAACCATATGAGGTTCTTAAAGTAAAAAATAGTTCGCCGGAAACCAGTATACCTATAACTCTAGACTGGAGATGGAGGCATCTGAGACTTTGATTAGGAGCTATAAGAGCATTTGGGATCTCTGGACTTGTGTGCACTGGACTCAACAACATTGGTAGCACCAGTGGAGTCAGTGGAGCCAGTAGTACCATGGGATATATATTGTAAATACAGTTGTCCAGAGTAGGACAGAACCAACTGAGTTTTGACATAGGTTTTGAAGCTATGATTCTTGATGAATGTATCTTGTCTTTTTATGTACACTGAGAGCTTAGAAACCAAAGACAAATTCCTTGTGTGTCCAATCACACTTGGCCAATAAATAATTCTATTCTATTCTATTGCAAAGGGTTGCAAGGGACCAGAAAGGCTGCAAAGAAGTTTGAGGCTTGAAGTGCTGACAGACAAGCTGTCATGGGTCACATACCAGGGGTAATGTTCAAATAGGTCAAATACCAGGGGCAAGATGAGCAAGACTGGCAAAGCAAAGTGCTGGGGTGGCGAGGTAACAAAATGTAATCAGGCAAGGCCCAATACTGTCTCAGATTCTGGGGCAGTGTGTACTCTTTGCCACCTCCTTGGACATGTGGCTTGGGCAGTAAAATTGATTGCTTTTGGGCCTGGGAGAGTGGCCCATGTTGTTGACTCTTGTTCAAGTTTCAAGTTCACAGGTCCCTCATCTATACTATGGCCTGATATTTTCTATTGATGTACTGCTCTGGGACTTTAAATCCTCTGCACACTTGTGGGAAGGTTGGGGGGCTTGAGTACTGTAAGATTTCCTCAGGTCATGAGCTGTTGCTGCTGAGCTCTAAGGCAAAAGGAGCTGACAGAGTGATGGCGACCCATGAGGGACTAGAAAGACTTTGGGACCTTGCGGAGTGCCATGGATGAACAAGTGAATAAATGTGGGTATAGGTCTGAGTGACTCAGCCTAGAAGGTAGGGACTGGGTGGGAAAAACATGGAGGTCGAGAGAGAGCAGGTAGAAATATTAAGACTAATGGTCAGAAGTAGATATAGTGGAAATCTGAACAGCTCCTCTTCAAAGAATAGCTGTGTCTGGCTTGGTGGCTGTGGTGTGACTTTGTGAGTTTGGCAGGGGAGGATACTGTAAAATCTCCATTCCCTCCCCACTCCAGAGGAAAGTTACTGCCAAATCCCCATTTCCTCTAGATCAGCTGGGACTCGGGAGGCAGAGAATAGATGGGAGCGGGGCCAGTCAGAGGTGGTATTTAATGATTCTCCGAACTACTCAAAATTCCCACTACCAGTTCTCCAGAACTGGTCAGAATCTGCTGAAAGCCACCTCTGCTCTGGAAGGCTTCAATACAATTACATTTTACTGCTCAGACCTACCTGTTGATGTTTTTTGCTCTTCTTCAGTAGTGAAAGAGTTACTTCCAGACATGGGGATCTTATCTGCTTGCAAGTTTTTATTATTTACTTACTTACTTATTTAATTTATTATTTATTTATTAAATTTCTATGCCACCCATCTCCCCTACAAGGTAATTCTGTTTCTTTTTGTTGAGTCTTTTTCCATAAATATTCTTGTCATGTTTAGTGAAATAATTTGTCCATCACTTTTTGCTTTGCTAGATTCTTGCTTTTTGGAAAACTGCCAGGTTTGGCCTGTTTCCTTTAGATATACCTTTTACTTATATCTTTGATATTGATTATCTTCCCTAACATATAGTTCTCCAGATCTTTAGCACAATAATATTTCTTCAGGGACATTTCTTATTAGCCCTTTTTAAACTTAGTTCCATAGTACTTAAATTCTCAATTCCTACCTGACTTTCCTTCAAGTTCTTTCTAGCCCAAGACTGACTTTACACCATTTCTTCTCTGCCTTGCCTCGAATTCCTTCCTCAGTTCTCCTTTCAATTATCCCTAATGCATTTTAAATCCTATCAAAACTATCTGATTTTCTTTCATAGTATCTGAAATATAAATTGCTTTGTTGACTGTCCTAAACTAAACTGTCAAAAGAGTAGCACCAAGTCTTTGTCGTTTACTCTTAGGAAAAATGACATACTTGTTTATTAAATTTAATTATAACTTTCTAGCATGATATCAAGGTTCTCCCAAGGATTCCATCACTGATAGTTTATAATTTGTAAACTTATTTCATTTAATTAAGTGCTTCAAAATCAGATAATTAATCCATAAATAAAGTTCTTTAATCCACTGACAGGCTTATTTTTCACCAGTTTTACTTGCCAGCAGGATTCCATATTCTTTTTGTGACATAATAACAGAAACAAGATGCAAGGCGATTTAATTAGTTCCTATAAACAGTTCTTTTATTTTAAAAAGGGCAAAATTGCTCTCATTTAATTTGGGTAATAACACATTATCCTTCTTATAAAAGATTAATCTTTCATGTTATAGCCGGGTGCCTTATGTTAATCTGTGTTAATTTTTGCTGTGCCCTAATTTTTAAGAAGTAAAATTGGAAAATGGACAGACTCAAGCAACTATGCTCAAAGGACAGGATTTAAAATATCACCATGAGGTAATTCATGTCCTCATTTTAACTCATGCAAGTTTCAGTATCTGCTGAAAATTTATACTTTACTGATAAATTCTGTATTGATTTAAATAAAGACACCCAACTGTACATAAAGAGGTGAGTGATGGGAAGGAAAAAGCAATCAGGCCAAATGGGGTGCTATTTGATACATTATAAGGAAAAATGTAAAGAATATTTCTAGGAAAGTGGAAATCAAAGCCATATTTGGCTAATGCAGGAGCTAGGTGTTAGGCTGTTGAACTTTGATGTATTTGACTATTACGGTATGTTTTTTGAAGACTTAAATTACAACTTTTGAATTCATAAAATCATTACTACCCATATTTTACTGGACATTTTGATTATTTTAAAGAGAAAAATGGAATAGCAACAGCTTCTTCGCATTCTTCCGTCTTTAGCTAAAACTACAGATTACAACAACAAAAATTCTAAAATCTGCTGGATTTTCTTTACAGTCTTGCTTATTTTTATGTGTTCCAGAACCCACTTTTATTCATATGGAACTCATACAGGAGAATGAAGCAGTCTCTGACTCTGACAGAATTTATGTGTTCTTCACGGAAACTGCTACTGAGTTTGAGTTCTACGATAAACTTCGGGTATCACGAGTAGCTCAACTCTGCAAAGTGCGTGTTTGAATTCCTCATTTGCTTCTGTGAAAAATGGAATCAGTGGAGTTATTGGGATGATAGGAAATAGTTCATATTTTCATTGAGAAAACAGAATTAGGAGAAAGAAATTGTAGTTCATCTCTTTAAGGAAGAGAGACCTTTATTTTGACTTGGTCTTGAGAACACAATTTTTCCTTTTTGCTACTGTATTAAGAAGAAGGAAGACAGGCAGCTAGCTCTCAGATAGTTAACCATCAAGAGAACTTAAAATTCTATAGATCTTACATATGCATAATGTTTCCCTACTCAAGATGTCCCAGTCCTGAAAAAGGCTTAGTAAGGCTGTGGAAGTGTTGTTCCTTTGTTTCACCAAGCTTAATTCAAAATGGTGGAATAATGCCTCAATACAGAATTGAGATCAGAATTGAGAAAACTCCTAAAACCTGCACCAAATGAAGCACCAGGGAAGCCTCTTTGCTTTGGCTAACAATTTGTCTCTGCAAATGCAGATATGCATAAAAGGTTGCTGAAGGCTACTACTTTGACATGGCGTACCAGCTCCTAGAAGTGAATTTAAAGAAAGGGAAGTTTCATTTTCTGAAGTGAAATGAGTTAGTTTAGTTTAGTTTAGTTTTAATAGATTTGTATGCCGCCCAATCCCGGAGGACTCCAGGTGGCTTACATAAAAACAGTTTAAAAACAAATACTAAAAAAGTTAAAATACAAAACAGCGAATTAAAAAAGGAAACGACATACACTCGATGTTAATGGGGCTGAAGCTCAATCAGAGATCAGCAGCCCTAGGCCTGCTGGAACAGCCAGGTCTTAACAGACTTTCGGAAGGCCGAGAGAGTAAGGAGGGTCCGGATCTCAGGGGGTAGATCGTTCCATAGGGCCGGGGCAGCTACAGAGAAGGCTTTCCCCTGAGGAGCCACCAGATGACATTGTGTAGTTGACGGCATCCGGAGAAGGCCCACCCTGTGCGATCTTATTGGNCAAATCCTCCTTTTTCCTTAGTGTCTTGCATAGCCTTGAGTTTTATTCTTGGTTTTCTTCCCTGCCAAATAAATTTTGAAACCAATTGATTCAAACCAGATTTTTAACATACAATTAAACTTGTCAGCATAGGACAAAATTGCTTGATGAGAAAATAACATTATAAGGAACATTCTGGAGTTACAGTAGTAGCTTAATAAGTAAGTAATTTTTTTATTGAAACAAGTCTTTTTTCTGATTTTATCAGGGATAAATGTATCCCAAGACAATATTACAAAATTATAACCTAGTCTTTAGACAAAAACAGCTGTATAATAGAATTGTTGCAGATTTTAGTTGGAGAGCTTTGAAGTAAGGGCTATTTTAGAAAATATTAAAATAATGGAGCTGCTTCCATCCCCATTCATTCTTGGTCCACACGTTGGCTAATTGCTCTATAAATCTTACTCAGAACACCCTAGAATATACCCAGAGTATTTTATTTATTGATTTCTGATATTGATATATCACCAGAATCCAGAGGCATGGTATTTTACAGCCAATAACAACACAAATCTATATACAATACATAAAAACAAAGTAAAATATCAAATGATGGTCCGTGATTATTAAATTGTGCCAATTTACATTAAGTTATCAAGCTTTGGGATAGGGTGAGGTTAGAACGTGGCCATGGTTTCATTGGATGCATTAGAGAAGGATAGTTCAGGCACCATATTTTGGTTTTATTGGCTTTTTGTTTGTTTATGTAGCTTACCAGATTTTTTTAAAATGGGTGGTTATAGGTAAGTCTTGTAAATAAATAAATCTTAAATACATTCAGAATATTACATCTCAACTCCTCCTTAAAATAGACTGAAGGTAGTTATCAATATGTTGTGGGTGGGGAGATAGGGCTTTCTTATAAAATAGGAACTATCACTAAAATTCATCTTTCTCAAGTTTGCTTGATGTAACTTGTGCAGTGAGAATCCGTAATGTTTCCCTCTGAAATGAATGTATCAGATAAATCAGTTGTACTTGGAGAAGGCAGGGCTGCAAGAACCATATGAGGTTCTTAAAGTCAAAAACAGTTGATCGGAAACCAGTATAGCTATAACTCTAGACTGTAGATGGAGGCATTCATGGCAAGAAAAAAGTTTCAGAGTAGACACTATAGACAAAGCGGAGGAACTCTATAAACAGAACTTTGGCAGTGAGGATGAAATAGAGGAGAGAGAAGCAAGAGAAGAAGGAGGTCCAAGACCATCGGTCATAGAAGAGAAAGAACTGCTAACCAGAGAGATGGAAAGTGGGAAAGGAGGAATAATGGGAAATGATGAGGGAAGACTTAAAAGAAATAAGAGAAACTAGATCTACAAGGGCGATAAGACCTAGATACAGGTAGAGAAATGCAGGAAGAAATTAAGATCCTATCCTTGAATATCAATAGATTGAACTCCCCCCCCCCAAAGGAAAAAAAAATTCAACAAACTTAGTAAAATGAATTTGGATATAATAGTGGTGCAGGAGATGCACATTAAAAAACATGAACAATTATTAGCCTACCCCAAATTGGGAAGTATGTTTGCATCGCTAACACAATACAAAAAGTGAGGGGTAGTGTTACATATCAATGAGAAGATCCCGGCTAAGCAAATCTATAAATATAATGAGGGTAGAATCTTCATTGTAGAAGTAATATTAAATCAAAAGCGAGTCGTATTAGTAGGAATTTACATCCCAAATGAGAGACAAGAACAATTTTATAGGAAATTGCATAATATTATCGGGAAAATAGAAGGTAATATTTGTATTATGAAGGACTTCAATGCAATAGTCAATAGAGAGTTAGATTACAAAAGTAGCAAAGTAAGAAAAGGAAATAGAAGAACACTACCTAAAACGTTTTTTAAAATGGTAGAGGAGTTGAATAGTCAGGATAGTTGGAGAGAGAGAAACCAAGGGGAAAATCAGTACACATATTATTCGAGCAGACACAAATTATGGTCCAGAATTGATATGGTTTGGATATCGACAAAGCTAAAGAAGTGGAAATAGATACCAACCTCTGAGCAGACCATAACCCAGTTAAAATAAGATTAAGGGGACAAAGGAAAGCGATGAGTTGGACTTTAAAAAGATCAATCATAAAACACGAAGAATTTATATCAAGGATGAAAGAACAAAAGTGCTTGTTCTTCTAGGAAAATAAAAAAGAAGACACAGATTTACAAAATCTTTGGGACACTGCAAAGACCTATATGAGAGGCATTGTGATTGCTTACATGGCAAAAGAAAATTTAAAAAAGAAACAATGGCAGAACAGTTTGGAAGAGGACTCAAGAAATTAGAGGTTGGATTACAAAAGGATCCCAACAAACAGCCCTAACTAAACATAAATTGAACATTCTCGAGAAGGAAGATTGAGCACAACAAATAAAATGGAGCAACCAAAACTTTTTCGAAAATGCAAATAAACTGGGGAGATGGCTATCATACAAATTAAGAAAACAGAAAGAAAGAAGGTGGAGTAACGAACTGCAAAATGAGGAGGGAAATATGTTCTTTCAAAATGAAGAGAAGAAAAATATAATTCATGATTTCTACAAGAAACTATTCAAGGATGATGAATGTGATATTGAAGAAAAAGTACTACAATGTTTTATAAAAACTGAATTATCCAAAGTGTCAGAAGATACATGCTGAACAAAGATAATAAGAATGTCAGAATTAATAGAGGCAATGTAAAAACAGAAAAATAATAAATTGCCAGGTCCCAATGGGCCATCAGAACTATACAGAGAACTACAAGAAACTCTAGGACAAACACTAATTGAGGTATTGAGGTATTTAATGTAAAATCCCAACTGACATTATCAAAAGCCTTTTGCACATTCAGAAATATCAATGCCACTTGTACTTCACTATGCACTTCATAATATTCCAATACATCCAATATTGTCCTCATATTATTTCTTATTTGTCTTTTTGGTAAGAAACCATTTTGGTCAACGTGAATAAATTCATTAAGAAACCTCTTTAATCTTTTGGCCATTATTGCCATGAATATTTTATAGTCCAAATTTAGCAATGATATGGGCCTGTAATTTTTAATTAATGTCAAATCAGTATTTGGAATCGGTGCGATGTTTGCCTCCACCCACGAAGCTGATGTCTTTGCTTCTCTTAATACTACATTAAATACCTCAATTAGTGTTTGCCCTAGAATATCTTGTAGTTCTCTATATAGTTCTATATCAGTGACGTGCGGTGAGGTTTATGGCTGGTGAGGCACTGACACAGGGGTTTCAAATTTTTTTAGACTTGTGAACTTTAACTCCCAGAATTCCACATGCTCAGTTCCGATTTAAAGCGACATTTTTTTTCTCCTTTGCGAAAAAGTTTTCTTTCATTCTTTTTCTTCTCCCTCCCCCTTCTTCCTCCCTCTATCCCACCCTCCCCCTCTCTCAAACAGACAGACGGACAGACACACACANTCAGTGCGACCAAAGCGGTTTCGGTGCAGTAACCAGGCCTGAAACCAGACTGAAAGGGATCTAGATAATCCGCTTCATCCAAGGTCCATCGGAGTTGAGAGGCCACCACCTTCTCAACAACCTTCCCAAGAAATGGGAGGTTGGAGACTGGACGGTAGTTTTTAAAAACAGCTGGGTCCAGAGCAGGCTTCTTGAGGAGGGGTCTCACCACCGCTTCCTTCAAAGGTTGCGGGAAAGACCCCTCCTGAAGAGAGGTGTTTACAATCCTCTGGATCCAGCCTCATGTCACCTCCCTGCTGGTCGAAACCAACCAGGAGGGACACGGGTCTAGTAGACAGGTGGCGGCACTCATCACTCCCATGGCCTTGTCCACTTCCTCAGGAGTGGCAGGCTGGAACTCACTCCACAAAGATTGATCAAGGCTCTCCCTCGGCATCTCTGCTGGCAAGTGGAGTCCTCTGCTGGCAAGTGGAGTCCAAGTGGAGTCCATGTCTGTCCTAATCTGAGCGACTTTGTCCGGCAGAAACTGAACAAATTCCTCAGCTCTTCCCTGTAAGGGTTCACTTGCATCCCTCTCCTTCAGGAGGGAGCGGGTTATCCTAAACAGAGCGGCCGGGCGAGATTCTGCGGATGCAATAAGGGCAGAAAAATGAGCAGATTTTGCCACCCGTATCACCACTAAATAAGTCCTTTGTACAGGTTTGTGAGCTTTGTACAGGTTTAGTATTTAGTGAATTAAATATCAAGACATTTCAGTTCCAAATCAATTATGAATATTTTCTGTTGTGTTTATTATTTTCTCTGTCCATGGTTCCTTTGGTGCATCTTCTCGATCTATCACACACACATTTTTCAGTGGTTTTTATCAAGCTGCTTGATTTATTTTCATAAAGTGATGAAATAATACAAGTATAGCATTTTGGAACATTTTGCTAAGTAGTTTTGTAACAGGATTTGATTTTTCCCTTCTCTAGGGCGATCTTGGTGGAAAGCGAACATTAAAAAAAAAATGGACCTCATTTTTAAAATCTACCCTTCTCTGTTCTATTCCTGAACTGCAATTTCAATTTAATATCCTTCAGGATGTCTTCGTAGTCAAGAATTCAAACTGGCGGAAAACCATAATTTATGGGATTTTTACCCAGCAATGGTAAGAGTTCTTCTCCATAATATCTCAATATATTATCAATATTCCTCTTAAAATTAACCACAAAGGGCAGGTATATTGAAAGTATATTGGTAACCACATAGTTTAAGGTGAGATCTATAATCACTGGCAAATACAGATTCAGGTTATGGTAAATGATTCAATTATTTTTGCACTATACTCTGGCATGAAGAATAAAAGGTCAAAATCACTCAGACTTGTGAACTCTTATAAAACATTCAGGAGGCTTGAACTGGGAAATTTACTGCAGCAGCTAAACCAGTCCAATGGTCCCATTTTTTTTAAAAAAAAAACTGCTTTATCATCTTATGGCCACCATATTGTTCTGCTGAGAATATTTTTGTGGCATTAATTTCCTAATATTGTTAGGGAATACTGATTGATAAATGATTTAATTCAAGTTTTAGTGACCTCAAGATTGTTATACATGTTCAAAGTTATATTTCGAATTCTTGCTTACTAAATAAGTCATAGTTCCCAGATTGATACATTATACTAAGCCTCAATGAGGGTGGGTCTTACAAAAGTAGCAAGAAATAAGCATACCACTCTATGATTTCTCCCACAAATCCTGCTAATTTGTCTTACTATGGCAGGAATGGGATGGTCCTGGGAGAATGAGCAAAATATACCACTGTGTACACTGAGTTTATACTTGCAGACTGGAGAATGGCCAGGCAGCAAGATAATGGATTTAATTACAACAGCAATAGGTTGGAAGATCTGAAGGACCAGGCTGTTCACAGATATAAGTCTTTGATCATATTAAATATTGTCATAACATTTGATTGATTAATAGTATGGCCATCAAGTAAGTGATTTACCATTTTTTAAAATGGAGAGATGTACAGCAATCTGGGTAATATTTTGCAAACTGTTTGGTTTCTTAAGCTAAGAAACCAAAAACACACAATTCCTTTATGTTCTTTACCATTTATTCCTCTTACATTCAAGTGGCAATCTTTCATGAGTTCTTACCAGATAGGCCCATAGATACTGACCTCTGCTACTCGTAGTTCGGTAAATTGAAGTATCTATGTTATCAGGCTTAGCCACACTTTTCTACATGCAGCAATACTTCTAACTGTAAAGATAATACCAATTATTTTTGATACATTTGGGGCAATATATATCAAGTGGAACCAAAAGCCAGTTTTAACTTCAGTACTCACATTATTCCATTGGGGCCAGAAAATGTTTGCCACATTTTTGCATTAGAATATATTATTTCCCACTTTCAAAAAAGCTGTCCGTTGCAGAATTCTATTTTGTGTTTTATTTAAGGGGAAAGTTGGATATCTCAGCTGTTTGTGCATTCCAGATGGAGACTATTCAAGATAATTTTCTGAAAGGAAGCTTCAAAGGTCCTGTTGCTTTGGAAAATTCTCATATGAAATGGGTGATGTACAGGGGAGATGTCCCAATTCCTCGCCCTGGGGCTGTAAGTCTCAATTTCTCCTATTGAATAGGCATTTCCTTGTTGAGTATGAATATGGTTTGGTCTCAAGACAAGGAGTTTTGAATTAGAACTCAAATTCAAAATATTTTTCACACCCTGCAGGCTAACATATTTAAGTAACAGCTGCTGCTGTCAGAAGATTAATTGTACTTTTTATTTGACTCTGCCATTTCTTAATCAAAACTATAGCAGAGATCTTACAAAGTATGTATAGGGTAAAACTCTTTGAGAGGAATGACATTATAGCACAAAACAGTTTTAAATATTTAAGAATTTACAATTTATATTGGATAATTGAATTTAACTCAACTGAACCCAGACTGTACCATGTGTTAAGCTATCAAGTTCTTACATAACTTCTTATCTATATCTCCTCTTGGTAAATAGTAATAGCTGATTAACTCACTTGTTCAATATTTTACAGTGTGCCGATGTTTCTGCTCTACACTTGGGGTACACCTCTTCACTTGACTTGCCAGACAAAGTCCTCCAGTTTGCCCGAGACCACCCTTTGATGGACAGTATTGTGAACTCAGTTGGTCTTCAGCCTGTCTTCCTGAAAAGGGGTACCAAGTACACACAACTCATAATAAGCCAAGCCACTGACTTGGATAATGTCACATATGATATCTTTTTCCTAGGGACAGGTAAAGCACTTACTATGCTGCTTCCATAGTACATATTTGTTTTAAATGCTGTCTTGTCAGTTTTCAAGATAGGTGCATTTTTGGGTGTTTTAAAGCAAGGAGAAGCAAATAACACCTCTAGTCCACCTCTATACTAGCACATCATACCCATAACATATTTTTGGTTTTTTAGTGATATATCTTATAGAAAATATAGATCAAGTTTTTGCTTCCCATAATATATTTTCCAGTAGATTATATTGTAATGGCATGTGGGAATGACCTCGGGAGACAGGAAGGAGAGCCACAGACAACCAGCATGTAAATGGTAGCCCATGGAAATGGAGATGGTGTTCTAGTCTGCTGCTCTCTAGTTTTCCAGAGACTAAAAAAGGAAGGATGGGGGAAATGTCAGTCTTACATTATTTTGTCAATCTGACCTTTGTGCTTGTTGTCTGGACTACTATACCTTGCAGGGTTAACATCTATGTATACTCTTATGAGGATCTGAGCAACCTGAATGTTTGAATTTTGCTATTTCAGTAATTACAAGTTTGTCCCCGTTTGATTTATCCCAATTTATTGACTAGCCAGACAAAATAACTAAGCTCTGATATTAAAGAAATACAATTTGGGTTATGTGTTTCTAATACATCTATAAAATATAAAACAAGTAAGGTTTAACTGTATGTTTTATTTTATATAGATAAGGGTTATTTGCATAAAACTCTCAATCACCATGGAGAAATTATTATTTTGGAAGAAATACAGCTGTTCCCATCAGCAGAACCTGTACAGATACTCAAACTAGCTTCTCTAAAGGTACAGCATTGTCCCGGTCTATTCAGCATGACACCCCTTCTTTCTGTTTCATTCCATTGTCTACTTTTGGATTTATCTATTTGAATGGTTTTTAATATCATTTAGGGAAAAAGTTAACTGTTTAGTGCTGTCTTTCCAGGGCCTGTTGTATGCCAGTTCTCCTTCCCAGCTAGTACAGCTCCCTGTTGCAATTTGCAGCTGGTATAAACAATGCTTTGATTGTATCTTGGCAAGGGATCCCTACTGTGCATGGTCCCTCTCTCTTCACAATTGTATCCTCCTGGCTAAACACCTTGAGCATTCACAGTGAGTAATATAATCAATGGAACAAGTAATGAGACTTGATTCAGATTTTAAAGTGTGTACATTATTGCTCTACATTTTTAATCTTTTGTTTGCTTTGAAGCTTTGTCTGAATCAGCTTGCAACAGAATAAAACAAATCAAAGACACTGCCCAGCATTGTCTGTTTTTGCTGCCTCTATTTTTGGTGAACTTATTCGTGTTCCTTCAGGAAGCAGTGAAGATAGCTCCCTGTAGGTAATTTTTCCCTAGCTGATAACTGAGGAGCTACTTGCAATGGAGAGGAGATGAATCTTTAGCCAGCCTTTGTACTACTGAGGATTCTAACATCTTTTTCAGTTGAAGTGGTGTTTCTGTTGAATCCCAACTTTTTTTCTCTGAAGAGGCCTTTTAAAGTTTGATTGTAGGAGAGAATGTTGAATAGGGGAACCACAAGTTTATTTTTTTAGATGACAATGAATGCTGAAGAGGGAAACCCGAGATATTTCATCTCCCCCCCCCCAAAATCTGAATTTATACTTTCCTATGTAGAGCTAGTTTGTAATATCTGAGTTCTCCTAGATTCACAGCTTATCCTTAAGAAAAACAGAAGCTCTAGCTAGGAGAGTCTTTGCACAGATCCATCTGGTATAGAACAGGTTTTCCTGAGTCAGGAAGTTTTATTCACTGTTAATTATGCCTTGGTCACCACCAAATCAACACTCAATTATAATTGAGTTGAGTGATTAATCACCTTTAGACAAAGTTGCATGGGTGGTATCCATGGTTATCCCTGTTGCAGCCATTGCAAGCATTCACTAGCTGTGACCACCCTCGTTATCCAATTGTCCAGTGAGGAGGGATCAAAATCGTTATCCTACCTGGTGTTTATGATGAGGCTTCAACATTGAAACCCAGTATGTGAGTTTGAGGCAGTAAGGTAGCTTTTCAGTTGCAGAAAGAAGGAAATGCCAAGGAAATGGGATGGGCATTGGTTGCTCAGCGGAAAAGCTAGGATAGGTGTAAGGTGAAACAGAGAAGTGTCCACAGATGCAAGTAGTATATCGCATCTTTTTTCTAGTTTATGCCATTGAAGCAAATTCTTCTTAGCTTCTCTTTGTAGGAGAGTTTCTGATTGCTGCTATTCTCAGACTTCCTTCTCTGCATTTCAAGGCTGAAAGTAGATTTTTAAGGGATGTTTTCTGTCTACTTTGGATGTTTTTGAATATCTTTATAAAGTAGTCGTCTTTCTTTCTTCTTTTATCAAGAGATCTAATCCAGAGCATCAGGAATGGTGATATCAACAGGTGTCCTGAAGTAGGTAGGGGAATTTTTAAAAAAATAAGGCAACATATATTTTCTAAACAGCAATTATTGTTTAGTTATAAAATTGTTGATATAATAAGATAAATTGCACTATACAAGTATTCCAAGTTTAGGTGCTATAATCCATCCTCATTTACTCAAAATTCAATTGCTTAGGGCAGATTTCTTTCTTTTGCAGTATAGGTAATTTCATTCTTTAAACCAATTTTACCCAAAGCTAAAGGACACATTGGTAGTAGTTCCATAATCTTGGACAGTTTCTGGGCCTTTAGTGTCTAAATAGGATCCACTGCTGACAAATGCCATGCCTGCTTACCCTTAAAAAAATACTTTATTAGTACTCTAGTCCGTGCTGATCTGGAAGCTACCATTTAAATTTTTAATGATGTCTATAATGTAACATCATTATACAGTGAAAAATTTAAATTGATCACTCTCAGACTCAGCTATCTAATGCTTTTTGCATTAGATGGCATATTATCAAGATGCCCTCTATCCAATTTTTTAATATATCTGTGTACATTCAACCATTGTCAGGATGCTATATAATGAGCTTGAAGAAAAAATACAGAATATTCTAAATTTTACAAAGAGATTGGGAGTGCAACTAAAAGGAAGGATTGTCATATGTCATTAATTGGCAAGAGAAAAGTTCTTTAGACAACATTAGGTGAATTAAACTTTTAATTACATGTAGTCCTTGTTTAACAACTGCCTCATTTAGCAACTTTCAGTTATAACAATAACTGAGTAATTTGTCCAATCCTTGCATCTACAATCTTCGCAATTCTGTAAAAAAATGAAAAGCTGTAAGATCGTAAGCATAGTCGCGGTTTCACTTTGCAATCACTTTGCTGAATAACCACGTTGATAGTCTCAATTGGGGTTGATAAATGAGGACAGCCTATATTATTTTTTATAATATAAATTTAAAATAATGAAATGTAGAGGAGAAACAGAAAAGCTAGTAATCTGACTTTAAAGAGAAAAAAAGCCTCTGATATAAGCAAGTATTCAGACTGTGATCTGATGCAACAAATGTGTTGTGAATATATTTAAGGGCGTAAGAGATGGAATCATTTGCATATTTTTATTTGTCATTTTTATTAAAAATTTTAAAAAAACATTAATGCAAACCAATATAAAATAAGGAAGAAAAGAAGAAGAAATCAAAACCAAAGCCAAAAATGCATTAAAATAAAATAAAAATAAAAAAGAAAGAAAAGGATACAAACTTCTGATATTCTTCATAGCAGTTATAATTGTATTTTAAACTCTTTCTAAAGTTATATCATTATTCTCTTCTTTTTCTAATGTCCCATCTAATCTTCAAAATCATACATTCATTTTTTCATTTTTACACCATAATTGCGTGTCCAGTCACCAATAAATGTAGATATTGTCTTTTCTCTAATTAAAGATGTTAATTTATCCATTTCTCCAAGATCTGTCAATTTCACAAACCATTCCTCCATAGTGAATATTGTTGAATCTTTCATCTTTGTTCATATAATAATCTCGCTGCAATAATCGTATATTGAAATAATCTTCCATGATTACAAGCATCATTTTTTTAGTTTTTTAAATGAACACCAGAATGATAGAATGTCTCTTTTTGTTGTTCACATTTCCAACATACATTTGAAATACCTTTATACATCTTAGTTAATTTGTCAGTGTAATGTACCAACAGTATATTAATTTATAAACATTCTCTTTAAGGTCATAGCATAATGTAAATTTCAACCCTTTTGCCATCGATCCATCTGTATGTTATAACCAGAATTCTTAGCCAACTTCATCATACAGTCTTTAATATGTTCTTCCTGTTTCAAATTCCAATAAAAATTTATACTTTTTAGCAATTACATGTGTATGATGCACATGTAATTGCATCATGTAAGTGCACAATTGTACTTCAAACTTCATGTTACTTTGCTCTACCTTAACCCTTTTTATTCATTGTGAATCTTTCTGATAACTATAAGTGGCAAAACTATATCCCTCTGCTATTAGTTGCTCTCTTGATTTCACCTCAAATTTCTCTTGATGATTTCCCAATAATTCCTGCTATGTCTTTGCCTCCTTTTCTCTTCGCCGATATGCTGCTAGTGTGGATATCCACAAAGGTGTTTTTGGGCCCAACCAACAGGTTTATATCCATTCCAATTCTCATATAACTTGAATATGTGCAGGCACACACACAAGCCACAGCAGATCTGCAGTTATGCTAATGCATTGGGATCACCTTGCTATTTGACTTTGCCTGGCAACAGTAATGTCAGAGGTGGGTATGTAACAGCAAAATCTCTCTTCTCCAAATATGGTATTTCTCCATAGTAACTACAATAATGGCCTGTTTGCCCTCTCCCTATTGTGCAGATATGGATAAATGTTTCTCTACAGACCCATGGAACTGTTTAATTGGACCTGAATTCTTTCCAACTTAAAGATCATAACTACATTTTTCTATCTTGTCACTCATGAGCACTATGCCATCCTATCCCAATAATTTCATAGCACACAGTGGAACTGGAAGTCCTTCTAATCAAACCATTTATCCATTGTTAAAAACAGCAGTACAGACAACCATGGTAGGTCTGAATATAGGATAGTAATTCACTGAAAAGCTCGGGAGGGTTGTTGCCTGCATGTCTAAGTGCTTTCATCTCCTTTTGAATCCAGCAGAGGATGACTGCAATTTTCCCAGAGATACACACTGAAACTCTTGCAATTTGTATGTGTGTGGGTTTAAAATGCTGTTTCTCTAAGCTTAATATTATTTGATTAAAAAGGCACACTGTTTTTGAATATAAATTTACTTTGGAAGGGGGGTCGATTGAAGATAGGGACAAGCGTGCTCCTTTTTCCTTTTGGAATCATTTTCTCTGAAGTACTGCTTCTTCATTTTTAACCTTGGGCTGAACCCAGGGAATTCCTACACGAGAGTGAGCATCAGCAGAATCAGCACATTGACTTATAGCAAAATCCCTGGTACTGTTGTCACCGAGAGAAGCTGGTATCAGATTGCGAATATTAAAAAGCTGAAAACACATTAATTTTTTAAAAAACCCAAAGCACCATGCAACACATTTTAAACAGTGCTTTCAAAGCACATAATACAGAGGGAAATGGTAGCTAGAACTTCTTTTATTCTTTCTCTGACAAGTGCTACATAAAATATAATGCATTTACTTGTAAGGAGATGCTTCATATGGGATACCTCTCTGCAGGATCATAAACATAATTTAGCAGTATCTTTTTACTGTATTATCTAATCTAAAACATCAATATATTATGTCCCCTTCATTAATGATGATACAGATTGTATGATGAGCATTTAGTACAGACATTGAAGAAGGTTGGCATAGTTCCTCGCATGAGGCAGGAAGCTATAAACTGACCACCAAGCCTTCTTGCTTTTCAGAAAAGAAAATCAGAAGGTACCCTGTCACCCTTGGCAGCAGCCCTCATCTTAACTGTGAACCTTTGTCCAACACAGCCAACCTCCTCTGGATGTTTAACAAGAGCCGCTTGCTGGAAGAAGAGGCTAAATATCTCATCCATACAAAAGGACTGGTTGTCTTTAATGTAACCGTTGCTGATACTGGGCTTTATGAATGTCAGTCTGTTGAAAAAGTCAATGGGCGAACATTTCGTGTAACAGTCGATATCTATTTCCTTCAGCCCCAGCCAGAGAAAACTTTCTACGGCCCTAAGTGTGACTTGTCAAACCAGATGTGTTCTGAAATAGCAGGTCCAAAAAGCAAACCTTTGGCAGGCCCAGAGACAGAGAACCCAAGGCAACCGCCATCCAGAAGAATCCAAAGTTTGTTGTTTATACTAATAGTTGTGGGGTCCACCGTTGCCCTTCTTTTCTTCCTTTTGCTTTCTTGGAATATTTACAAAGGCCATATCTCTCTGCCCTGGGTCTCTATATCTAAAATATCAGCAGATGAATCAGCAAGTCCAGAAATGAGTCTGGAGCAAGTAGACCTTACTCAGACAAGCTCATCCTCAAAAACAATTACTATCTCCACTGGCAAATCAAGCCCATTGATGTCTTCCTCTAAAATAGATTGCAGTATAAATATGAAGCCAAGCATTAACTCCACTAAAATCTCTGATTCTTCAAATTGTCTGGTGATGGATGAAATCAAAATTCCTGATAAAGACCATGAAATACAAGATTGCTCCAAGAGAAGTTCAACACTTTTTTGATCCCACAAACTAGTTGGTAAAGAAATACCTTTTCTCTCTCTTTTTTTCTTTTAAGTGTTGTTCGATTTCTTCATGGATCACCATTTTCTTCCTGCCAGTTTCAGAATGTTCTGAAAAATAAATCTTTTGAAAAAAAGTTTTTATCAAGCCTCATTCTTCCTCCATATTGTTTCCCATATTTTCATATCACTGTAGGAGAATGCCACATCCATTTTGCAAATTATAAATACCTCATTTCTAATTCTTAAAATTAGTATAGCTATTCAAAACTGAGAAGTATTACGTATGGATTACAGGATGTTTGTGAACAACATTTTCTGTTCACACTAGACCAACCATTTGTTTTAAAGATGGGACTGTATTTTCCATTGTTGTATAAATGAAAAGAAATAAGCCATTTCTATTGCTAAACTTCAAGAATTACATTGGTCCACAGGACACTCTGCCATTGTAATGATTGCTTTCCAGAACTCTTGACTAATTAAAACTAGCAACTGTTCTTGCAACTGAGATTTCATTTTAGAATGTATAAGAATGATCCTTTGAAAAAGCCACTTTTCATAGTTATTTATGAATCACTGATTTGCAGCAAGCCTCTGAAATGGAAGAAACAGTGATGCCTTTACATATGCAAAAATAATCTCTTTTTTTGAAGCAGTGATTTTGTTCCAAGAACTGAGCCAGTTAAACCAGATATTGAAAAGCAGTAAAATTGTCCATTTGGTGACTGGCAGTGAGTAACTCAGTCCAGTGATTTTTCCAGGAGTGCATCAGGCACTCTTCTCTGAAAGCACATTCTGTTTTGGGAATAACCGAGGGAGCTAATGGTACCTAATGCAGAAATAGAGCAGAATCATCTACCATCTCCAAGCAAAGGCAGATTGGAAAGAAGATATGCTTTAAGCAGAGATTCAGCAGGCAGGCTGCTGAGCATCTCTTGAAGAAAGTATCTTTGAACATTGGTTCTTCTGGCAGACTAGCCATTCTAGCAACTACAATGAGAAATTGTAGGTATTACAGCTTTCAAAAGTATGATCAGATAAAAATTCTGAGAGTGTCATGACATCTTGGATTTACCTTGGATCTAAAGTGACACGACCTTTCCTTGCTTTACCTTCACTTTCACTGTCGTTTCATTATCACTAGTAATAGAAGGCTAAAGTTTTAAGTATTGAAAGGACATTTGGAAAAGTAGAGCAGACAGCATCCTCAACTTGCTAGCAATCGGCTATCTAATATTGACAGCCTTTTTTAGAAACTAATTATCTGGCACAAGGCGGATTATTTTAATTGGGTCAACAGAAATAGGAGATGAATGTTGGTGGGATCACTTTGGATATCATGTCTTGTTCATCTAAAGGGCATCCTTGAAACTTGCAGTTGGAAATGTGAAGGGGCAGTTTATTTGGAGCACTAATTACTCAGCTGTTCACAAGTTTCCACATGAAGTTCTCACTGAGACTTGTGACTCACAGTCTTTGAGATGTTGTTACTTGAACAGAAGGTTGGGTTCAGGACTTGCTGTAATCCATGTTCCTTGAAGGCAAGGCAAGGCTTAGCTCACTGATAGCCTGCTTGAGATTGTGGTGTATCCACTGAAATGAAAACAAAGAGAATCTTCCCCAATCTGGTGCTCTCCAAATTACTAGCTCCCATAAGGCCTAGTAATTAAGTAATTAAGTAAGACTGTTTGAAAATAATGGAATTGTCCTACACACTAGGAAAGATCTTTCATCATCCTAATTCTTTCCTAAGAAAAATTGGGGAAAGCTGATGTGCTCCAACATTTAGTAGCCAGTTAGTAGTGAAGCCATTAACCAAATTATGGAAGAAATTACCATGTGTGTTATGCATCCTCATTATCTTGCTCTTGTCCATAGACAAGCTTTTTTATAAATAATCATGATAGCCATTGATTTAATTTTCACCTGTAAAAACTGCCCAATCTGTCTGGTATCTCACACATCTTCCAACAATAAACAGATATCCTGCAAAGCTTACAAGCTAGCCACAAAAGCAACTGTTACTCTTGTTCTAGATAAAACACGAACTGTTGCTTGATATATTGCCTTTGAATATGGCTGGGCCAGGGCTACATCATCATGAAGAAAAGTCAGGTCACCTCAGTCATCAGACATAATAGGTGGAATAAGAAGCAAAAAAAAGTTTTTGAAAGAACAGATCAAATGGCCTAACAATTGCCCTCAGATAGTTGGAGAATGATGTCCTAGTGCCTGTTTAAAGGCAATTGCCAGTCCAGTTGGCTTTTGTTTAAATAGATGTGCATATCTGCGTGAGCCATAGCCATACCAATGTTGACCAGGAATCTAATGTTTCTATTGACAGTCTTGAGGGAGAAATCCGATGTCATCATTGCCTCTGCAGGCCTTCAAGGTCATGGAAACACCCAATGTCCCTGAGATGATACTCAGTGTCCTTGGAAAACCTCCAGGGGAGGTGGATGACTATTTCTGAACTTCTTTATCTTATCTGGAGTGTGCCAGCTTTTCTGGGTGGGGTGTGCCAGTGCTTCTGGGTGGAGAACTGGACAATGTAGCAAACACGTACCATATTTTTCGGACTATTAAGACACTCTAGACTCTAAGACGCACATATCTTTAGGGGAGGAAAACAAGATAGCCGCCACCACCTATCCCCACTGCCTGAAAACGGAGTGCGTGAAGGCCAAAAATGGGGTGTGCGGAGGCAGCAATACGTGGCAGTGGCGATGGGCGGCGGCAATCCCCGCAGCCTAAAACAGCTGATAAGTGGTATTCTGGGAGGCAGATCCAACTGCCAATCAGCTGCTTGTGCTAATCCAGGCTGTGCTGAAGCTAACTAGACTGTTTGCTGTTTTCTGCAAGGAGGCAAATTGCTGGGAGGCAGAGGACGGCGGGTAGGGCCAGCAGGTGGGTGGGACTTCAGCAACATTTGCTCTTTAAGATGCACAGACATTTCCAACCATGAGGGGGGAGTGCATCTTATAGTCTGAAAATATGGTAAATATGAGTATCAAAATGTGTTCAGGGTTTCCTCTTGCTTTGAGGGGCCGTCTTTATTCAGCTGAATAAATGTGTAAAGCTTATGGAGACAAATACCTGGAATACTATTTCTACCTAGCCACACCTGAAATCAGTAAAACAACAAACAGCAACATTTCTTGGTCTGGTCCTGGTTTGTCTTTTCCCTTTAATTACCATGGTTGGGTAGAGATAGTATCCAGAAGAATGCTTGTGTTTTTTATCTTAGCAAAGGTACCTCTTCCATATTTCAGATGCAACTTAGTATTGAATAAATTATCTATAAATCAGCAGCATGGATGGGTTCTTATTCTTTCCGGCTTCCTGGAAGCACCAATCAGTCAGGATGCTAGAGTAAATGTATTTATTTAATTAAATTTATTCACCACCCATCTTGTTGAATGTTCTGTGCCTGAGCTGGCTGGACAGCACTGTTTAAAAAGATGGTAAAGATTGTGGTGATTACATTCTGTGAGCAAAGTTATAGTAAGTTAAATATATTTAGTTTGCTAAAGTTGGCCTCAGATAGTTGAAGAATCTCAAGGGGGGGGGGGTCCTGCATTTTCCTGCTCTAGAAAACAGAATCCACACTAATGGTTTCTAATTGCAATAAAGACTTGAATTAAAGATTAAGAACTCTATGGTCCTATGAGCTGTTCAACAAAATTAAATGCACCAGAATATATTAGATTTCCTACCTGGGATATTTGTAGAAGTTAATTAGGACTTCTTGGAATAAGCCAACTTCAAGGTCCCTTCCAATTCTATGATTCCTAATAATAGATTTTTGTTAAACAATGGATTCAGTTCCAACTGTGAAAGCTTCCAGGCCAGGGGCAATTCTAATGTTATAGCAACTTTCCTCTGTCAATCGGATATTTGACACGTTTAAAAAGGTTTTCATTGTGGGGCTCCGGCGCGACTGCAGAAGCTGTGGAGTCCGGTTTCCTCCAGCAGATGGCAATAAAGAGCCAACAAAGAAGCCACCCTCCCCGCCCCCGCCCGCCCCTTTGGAAATAACTCAGAAGAAATGTGATAGAAACGAAGCGGAGTTTGCAGATGAAGGAAGATAAATTAAAATAAAATAAAAATTTAAAGAAGGAGAACAAAGGTTGCCGGCATTATCCTGCATAAAAGAACAAAGTGGGTAAGCAGCTCCATTTTTAACATGATTTTTTTCCCCTTTTCGTTTTAAAGCTCTGCAGAGAAAGCGATCGGTTTGCCTGAAGCGCTAGAAAAGAGCGAGAAATATTTGCAACACAGAAACAACAACCACAAAAAAAAGAGGACAATCTCCTGCTTCCACCCTCTTTCCAACTCAAGAGGAAGAAAGAGAACCTGGGATTTTTTAGGGGGAGAAAGAAAGTTCTTATCTCTAGGGTGCTTTCGGGTGATTTTGAAGGGAGTGCTTTTTGGAGCGAAAGGAACAGCTGCCCTCATCTTTATGCTTCTCTTCCCTCCCCACACCCTTGGGAACGTATAGAAGTGTGTGTGCTTATGTGTGTGAATGCGCATGTGGTAATGCTCTCCCTTTCTTTCAAGCCCTAGAATCCAACCCCGCCTTTTCCATCACAAAGTCATGGATTTCCAAAGTGAAATTCCGGAGGAAATTTGAGGAGTATCCGGATCCGGAGAAAGAGTGAACAGGAAAAAAAAAAGAGGCAACGTGGAGATTCGATCAAAGGAACAACTGAAGAAAGAAACCCTGGCAGACGGGCAGGAGAAGATGGGGTGAGAAAACCAATCTTTGACCTTAAGGGTGCTTGCAGAGAAATCAAAGAGTTTGACATTGATGGGTTGGGGGTGGATGTGTTTTTTTTTTAGTTTTGCTGTTTAAAAAAATGAATCAACAAAGTTTATTAATCGAGGAAAGAGATAGTGTGAATTTCCTGCCATATGAGGTTTTAATGTGATGAACAGAAAAGAAGGAATGTGGTGATATAAATCTTCCTATATATTAAAAGGATGGCATTTATTTTGTTTTTTGACTGTATCCACTTTAAATTAATACTGATGCACATTTTGTTCTCCCCCCACCCCATTTCACACTGCCACTCTCTTTCACCACAGCACACAAATGATTCCCTTTTAAAGTAGCTTGTGAATGATCAGCCCTTCCTCCCCCATTCATTCCTGCTGAAATGTAGTGTCAATCTGCATATTGTAAGTCATATTACCCTGGTCACCAACCAATACTTCCATGGGTCCATCAGTTTGACAAAGGGGTGGAGTTTGGCAATCCAAGCTTCTTTCCTCTGTCCCATATATAAATATAAGCCCAAAGTGGACAGCAAGTAAGTTTTATTGGTGTGATCCCCTGTCCTTCCTAATCATCTCGTTTATTATTGAATCATTGAATATAGATCACAAAAGCCAGCTCAAAGGTGCAGAATTTGGTTTGAGAAACCTAGTTGTTGATTTCCAGCAGGTCCCTGCCTTTCTAGCCTTCCAGAAAGTCTTAAAAATCTGGCTTTGGCCCCAGGCATTGGAATAGGATAAGGCTGAACAGTGCACTTGGGTTTTTTTAAATTAAAAAAAATGTTTTAGGGCACAGAAGTTGGGGGCTGGGTTTGGAGGGGATATTGGTTTTTGTTATTTCTTTATTGTTGTAGTTGTACATAAGTTATAACAAATGCAATGGAGAATCATGTAAGTCTTGTAATTGCAAACATACATATTTTGGTCAGGCTGTGGGTGTGAATGACCCATTTCAATTGATAAGCAAACATGGAGGTGCAATCAACTTGATAGAAAGAAGCAGACATAAAGGGTGTAAGAATCCAGAGAGGGAGATAATATTGTCAAGGTTTATTAAAAGCAACATAATATACGGCATGCTATTATGTATTTTATTTTATATATGTGTGTGTGTGTATGTATGTAATATACACTATGTCCACATTACTATGGAGAAAGGAAAGATCTTACAAAGCTGAGTATTGGATGAAGGTGACAACTTGCAGGAATTTACTGGCACAAGATACCCTGCGTTTAATTCAAATGTTTTATGTGTGTATGTAGATTGATAGTATGTAATGATGTAAGATGGATAAGAGATTGATTAACCTTGTACTAGCTACCAGAATGTCTTTAGGGATCAACTAAGTGCTGGTGAAGCAAACAGAAGAACAAAGGAAGTGGTTTCCTGTTATTATTTATCTATGACTAGTGGAGAGATGGAATTAGACCCAGGATTATTTTTCCCCTTCCTCCATCACCCCAGGCTTAACATTACATTCAGTGAAATAGTTTAGTCAATGGACAAGGGATCAGCTCTGCCTTCATTCAGTGTTATCCCTACTCACCAATGAGATATAGATTTCATTGTCTTTAAGGCTCGTGGCTCTTTGAAGTACCTCACCCTATCAGCTGGGCAACCTATGGAGGGATCTATGGCCAACACAGTCCTAGGCTGCATTAAAAGAGGGATATGTCTATGGAGATTCTCAGTCATCCGGATCATGGTTGTCCCAAAGGTTCTTTTCCAAAATGCAGTTGGACTTTGTTTTTTCCTTGAAGACATTTCGCTTCTCATCCAAGAAGCTTCTTCAGTTCCCTTGGGATAGAATCAAGATCATCTGAAATATTAATACCACCCTGTAATGCCTTAGTAAGACCTCAATTGGAATATTGCATTCAGTTTTGGTCGCCATGATATAAAAAAAGATGTAGAGACTTAGGAAAGAGTGCAGAGAAGAGCAACAAAGATGATTAGGGGATTGGAGGCTAAAACATATGAGGAACAGTTGTAGGAATTGGGTATGTCTAGTTTAATGAAAAGAACTACATGTGACATGATAGCAGCGTTTCAATATATCAGGGGCTGCCACAAAGAAGATGGGGTCAATCCAGTGGTGAAATTCAAGGTTTTTTTTTACTACCGGTTCTGTGGGCATGGCTTGGTGGGCGTGGTATGATTTGAAAGGTGTGGCTTGGTGGGCGTGGCAGGGGAAGGATACTGCAAAATCTCCATTCCCACTCCACTCTGGGGTCAGCCAAAGGTGGCATTTGGCATTTCTCCAAACTACTCAAAATGTCCACTGCCAGTTCTCTATAACCTGCTGGATTTCACCCTTGGGTCACCCTATTCTCCAAAGCACTTGAAGGCAGGACAAGAAGCAATGGATGAAAACTAAACAAGGAGAGAAGCAACCTAGAACTAAGGAGAAATTTCCTGACAGGACAATTTATTAGTGAAACGTCTCCAAAAGTTATGGGTGCTCCATCAGTGGAGGTTTTTAATTGGACAATCATTTGTCTGAAATAGTATAGGATTTCCTGCTTGAGCAAGGGATTGGATTAAAGACCTCTCAAGGTCTCTTCCAACTTTATTATTCTGTTAAAGAAATCCAATAGTGATTAGACAGCATCACCACCAGATGGATTCGTAACTGGCTGACCAACCGCACTCAACATGTAGTCCTCAAGAGCCGAGGTGGCGCAGTGGTTAAATGCAGCACTGCAGGCTACTGCTAGATCAGCAGTTCAGCGGTTCAAATCTCACCGGCTCAGGGTTGACTCAGCCTTCCATCCTTCCGAGGTGGGTAAAATGAGGACCCAGATTGTTGGGGGCAATATGCTGACTCTCTGTAAACCGCTTAGAGAGGGCTGAAAGCCCTATGAAGCGGTATATAAGTCTACTGCTACTACTGCTACTCAATGGAACTGCATCTTCATGGAGGGAAGTATGCAGTGGAGTACCCCAAGGGTCTGTTTTGGACCCAGTACTCTTCAACATCTTCATCAATGATTAGGATGAGGGAATAAATGGGGAACTCATCAAATTTGCAGATGACACCAAGTTGGCAGGAATAGCCAACACTCCAGAAGATAAGCTAAAGATACAGAAGGATCTTGACAAACTTGAACATTGGGCACTATCTAATAAAATGAAATTCAATGATGAAAAGAGTAAGGTTCTACATTTAGGCAACAAAAACAAAATGCACAGGTACAGTATAGGTGGTACCTTGCTCAACAATAGTAACTGTGAAAGGGATCTTGGAGTTCTAGTGGACAACCATTTAAATAGGAGCCAGCTGTGTGCAGCAGCTGCCAAAAAAGGCAACACAGTTCTAGGCTACATAAACAGAAGGATAGAATCAAGATCACGTGAAGTGTTAATACCACTTTATAATGCCTTGGTAAGGCCACACTTGGAATACTGCATTCAGTTTTGGTCACCACGATGTAGAAAAGATGTGGAGACTCTAGAAAGAGTGCAGAGAAGAGCAAAAAGGATGATTAGGGGACTGGAGACTAAAACACATGAAGAACGGTTGCAGGAACTGGGTATGTCTAGTTTAATGAAAAGAAGGACTTGGGGAGACATGATAGCAGTGTTCCAATGTCTCAGGGGTTGCCACAAAGAGAAGGGAGTCAGACTATTTTCCAAGGCACCTGAGGGTAGAACAAGAAGCAATGGGTGGAAACTAATCAAGGAGAGAAGCAACTTAGAACTGAGGAGAAATTTCCTGACAGTGAGAACAATTAATCAGTGGAACAGCTTGCCTCCAGAAGTTGTGAATGCCCCACACTGGAAGTCTTTAAGAAGATGTTGGACAGCCATTTGTCTGGAACAATATAGGGTTTCCTGCCTAGGCAGGAGGTTGGACTAGAAGACCTCCAAGGTCCCTTCCAACTCTGCTATTGTATTGTATTATTGTATTGTATTTCCACAACTGGAAGGGCATTCTCCAGAAGAGTGTTCAGATCCTGCCATAGGTATCACTATGTTTTCCTTTTCAAGTATTTAAAATGGAAATTAAGGCAGCAATTTGTCACAGGGAGACAAAGCTTTCAAATTTTCCTCCAAATAATCTGGACAAAAGAAGAAGTTGTCAAAACGACAAAACTTTCACCTTGGCACCTTCAATCCAGCTGACTCAGCAATCGGCTGTCTGCCAGCCAGCAATGAGCCACATTTCCCAGACTCCTTCATGCTGCTACTAGCTCAGAAAACAAGCTCAAAAGGAAACGGCAGATGTTCCAGAGTTTTAAAACAAAGTTATCCCTAATAAGCTGCAGATAGGGCCTTACATACATACTTTGAAAAAGGTATCCAGGGATGCATGCAGACAATGAAAAGAATGGTTATTTTGTTATCTTGTTAAATACAAGGGAAAACACACAGACATTTTGTACGAGGGTGGGGGGTGGTCTGGTCATTCATCGAACACTGGATCTCTAAATCTCACCTCTGACTTTCTTCCTTGAACTGGAATCTGCACCTTTACGAAACTGACAAGTGATTTTTTTTTAAAGTTTTGTTTTGAAATGGGGCCCCCAAAAAATCTAGCCATTAAAACACAGGTATCAAAATTCACCATGTTGCGTTTCCGTCATGTGACGTATTGCGATGATTCCTCCCTTCGCTGAGCTGGGGTGGGTGTGACCTGCGTGTGATGCATCCAGCCCGCGGGCCGCCAGTTTGACACCCCTACCTTAAAATAGCCTTGCCATGTAATCGAGCTTCCATGTTCAGAGGCAATACAGGTAGTCCTCGATTTAACAACAGTTCACGTAGTGACCTTTTGAAGTTACAACGGCACTGAAAAAAAGTGACTTATGACCATTTTTCGCATTTATGACCACTGCAGCATCTCCGTGGTCATGTGATTTACATTCAGATGCTTAGCAACCAGTTCATACATATGAGCGTTGCAGAGTCCTGGGGTCATGTGATCATCTTTTGCGACCTTCTGACAAGCAAAGTCATTGGAGGAAGACAG